ACAGGCTGGTTTTCAAGACTGACACACATGGCGAAACCGGTTTGGCTCAGTGGATAGAGCTTCAGCCTGCGGACTGAAAGGTCCCAGGTTCGATTCCAGTCAAGGGCATGTACCTTGGTTTCAGGCACATCCCCAGTAGGAGGTGTGCAGGAGGCAGCTGGTCGATGTTTCTCTCTCATTGATGTTTCTAGCTCTCTATCTCTCTCCTTTCCTCTCTGTAAAAAAATCAATAATATATATATATATATATATATATATATATATATATATATATATATATATATATATTAATGCCTTGGAGGACAGAGGAGCCCGGTTCTCAGCCTCCTGCTCCCTCTTTGTCAAAAGGGATGATTCGAAAGTCTTTTGGGGAGCCAGAGGCTCGGCGGAACCAAGCTGAGACTTCTCTCCCCACCATCAGTCAGAGTCCTCGAAAGAGAAGTGGAATCCTCCCTGTCGTGACTCAGGGGTGTTCATTCGGGGTCCCCCGTGGCCCTCAGCCACCAGGGCAGGGCAGCCAGCTGTCTGGGCGGGGAGACAATGCCCAGCTGAGTGAGGAAGGTGGCAGGGGCTGCCTAGCCAGTGGGCTGGGAGGGCGGGGAAGTTGGGGTGCTGGAAGAGAGGCCCAGAAGGCTTGTGTTCAGCCTCCGGACCCCCAGACTCGCCTCAAGCCATTCCCTCCACCTTCCGCTGAGGAGGAGGGCAAAGTCCAAGAGAATTACCTGGCAATTCAGAAAATGTGAATCCGGCTCCATCTCATTAAGACTCTGGGGGAGGGGAAGACCTCGGTAGCGGTTTACATTGAGAGCCCAGTGTGGGCCTCTCTGATTTTGGTTCTGAGCTGTTGGAAAGTTTGCAGTGGGAACAGAAGCCCCAACTTCAAAGGCACGGCCTGCTGCTGGCCGGGCAGAGGGAGTGGGAGGAGCAATACGAGGGGGGTGAAGGAGAGGGCACAATGGGGTCCGGCTGGAGCCAAGGCCTGGGGGCCACAGGGGCAAGTGTCCGCTCAACCCCTGGGCTGCTGGGACAGGTGGCAGGGAGGGGGTCCCTCCCCCTCTTCTTCCTTCCCTCCGCCCTGCTGGCCTTGGGGCTGAGCACTCACCGTCCAGCTCCCTTTGGCAGCTAGGAGACCAGGAGTCACCATGACAACAGAGCTCCTAAGCAGGCCAGAGCCCCCGGCGCCCCCTCCTCTGTGTCCGGGCAATTGGGGGCCATCATTTCTCAGTCGCTATGAACGTTCTGAAGGTTAAGACCCCTCAGCAGGGGGTGTGCGGTGGGTAAATGAGTATGGGGTTGGCTGAAGAGGTGGGTCGCTAGAGACGGATGGGGAGGAAGGAAAGAAATGGTGCACACATGAAGAATGAATGGACAGACAGATGCCGGGGAGGGACAGGAGGAAGGTAAGGAGGTGGGCGGGTGTGGCCGTGAGTGACGGCTGAACAAGGGTAGCTGGTGGCTATGTGGGTCGATGCATGATGTTCAAAAGAGATGCATCCTAGCGAGGTGTTACCGGGATACATGGGTGGATCAATGGAGGGATGGATGGAAAAGGATGGGCAGGTTTGAAAGGACAAGATGGCAAACAGCACCAAATCCTTGGTTCTGCTGTAGGATGTTTCCGGGGAACCAGGAAGGCTCCCTTCCCTGAGGCAAGTGGTAGATCTAGAAGGTCCCAAGCTCTCCCCGTCACCCCTCACCCCACCCCATGGACCCTGCGCTCTGCCAGTGTGCTGCAACCAAGACCCCTGAGCCCAAGGGAAGAAAGAGCCCAACCACTAAATGCCTGCAGTGCCCCCATCACTGCCACCAACAAAGACAGATGCCAGGGCCCGGGGGGCCTGGGTCTGGCCGTTGCTAAGTGCCCAGAATGCTCCCTGCTCCCGCCACTGCCATTCTCCACCGGCTGGCATTGCCATGGTGCCTGCCGGGTCTCTCTGCCGCTTCCCCTGGAGGAGCAGCCTGTAGCCAAGGAAGGCAGCGATGCCCATGGGCCCTGCCCTGCCCTGCCTGGCTGCTGGTGCTTGGCTTGTCCAGCTCTGGCTCTCCCTCTCCCCTTGGCCTGTGCACTCCTGCCCCCTGGTGGGACCCGGTACAACTACAGTGCACAGGGTGGGGCAGGGTGGATGGAGGCTTTTCCCTGCAGCCAGAGGACTGTGTGTGTGTGTGTGTGTGTGTGTGTGTGTGTGTGTGTGTGTGTACGTGTGTATATTCACGCACTCACACTTCTCTTGGCCTCCAAGATTAGAGATGGAGAGGAAACTCTGAAAGGGCCCAAAGCAGCTCCTCCAGCGGAAGGAGTTATTATTATAATTACTGTGATTATTGTTATCCAGAGGATCAGGCCTGCCTGACGCCTCGCACAAAGCAGGCCCATTTTCCTTCAGCTTGTTGTTTGTGTCTGAGGAACTTCATCTTTGCTCGTAATAACTACCATTGGCAGGGCTCCTTCAGCTGCAGAGCTGTGTCCCGTCCTCCGCCTGTCTCTGCGGCACAAACAACCCTGGGAGGTGGGGAGGACGAAGGAGAGCAGAGGCCCCGAGAGGTTAAGTGTTCTGTCCGAGGTCGCCCAGCTAAAAAGCCGCGGAGGCAGGACTTGAACCCGGTCGCTTGTGTGTGAAAATTCCTGTTCACTTCCCTGCCTTTTTGACATCTCATCTCTCAGGGGGCAAAGGCCCTGTATTAAACGTTTGCCCTTTTGCCGCTGATGTTTACCGGAAAGGCCATGTTGCCCTGAGAAGAAGGGAAGCGTGCTGAAGGCCTGAGTGTTAGGCATTCCGGTCTAGACGGCGTGTACACCCGGGCACCTCCGAGTCCCCGCCAGGGAATGGCACGCATGTGGCCATCATGGCTCGTGGCTCAGCCGGGCTGATGCCAACATCCCCTGGTCACCCCTTACCCCATCCCACTTCCCGATGTGACCACGTCTCTGGGGAGGGCGGGCAGGTCCCACACGGAGGGACAGACAGGGCGTCCACAATGGCTCGTTGGAGGCGATTAGAAAGCGCACCCTCACCGTTGCTTCCCTGTGAGGTGTCCCGAGGCTCTGGGTGCTCCGATTGGAGTGTGTCCCTCACCCAGCAGAAAGTCACCCACCCTGCCCACCCTCAGGCCCTGACTCCCTTCTCGCAGACCTGGCAGAACCCGTGGCGGCAGGCCTGCAGGAGGAAGTGTGGGAAGGTCTGGCCGGGTCCGCTGGCTGCATTCCACAGGCAGGCAGGCACACTGAGAGCGGGAGAGGATTGGGGCTGCCCCAGGTCACCCGGCCACCTGGGGGCAGCAGCAGCAGCATGTGGGTCCCTGAGTCATCGGCCTCAGCCCTGGGTTTAGCCCCAGGTGGAGGCACCGCCCCCTGCTCACTCCTTCCCCCTCTCCTGCTTCCCTGAGCCTCTGCCTGCCTAGGGCACCCAAGGCCCATGCCTCGGGGAGGCTCAGATACTGAACCTGGGCACCTGAGAGGCCCAGGAATCCGAGGGCTGGGGCTGGGGACCTGGATCTGGGCTAGCATGGTGGGCGAGGCCTGCAGGCCTCAGGGCCAGTAGCAGCTTCCTTCCCAGGGCAAGCGTACGGAGGGACCCAGAACTTTCTCACTGGCCTTCTGCAGCCGACAGCCCTGGCGTGGAAATAGCTACCTAGCCGGCAGCTCCATTCTGGAAGTCTCCCCCGAAGACTAGTCCACGTGCCTTTTGCACAGAATCTTCTGTGGGGCCACACATCTCCCCGGCGCTGACCTCATTTCCTCTGTGTCTCTCCCTCCCCAGAGGACACCTGCGAATTGCCAGCGCCTCCCACTGTCTTTCTGAGCCACGGACCACGGGCCACGAACCGGGGAGACTGGCTCTCCTCTGGTGGGGTCTGAAGGCAGGGGGTTGAAAGGCCTTGAGAGTAGTACAGGGGTCGGCAAACTCATTAGTCCGCAGAGCCAAATATCAACAGGACAACGATTGACATTTCTTTGGAGAGCCAAGTTTTTTAAACTTAAACTTCCTCTAACGCCACTTCTTCAAAATAGACTCGCCCAGGCCATGGTGTTTTGTGGAAGAGCCACACTCAAGAGGCCAAAGAGCTGCATGTGGCTCGCAAGCCGCAGTTTGCCGACCACTGGTCTAGTAGTGCCTATGAATTAGACCCAGATTCTGGGAGGCCCATGAGGTTAGGGCCTAGCGCACCCCACTCCCAGCCACCTTCCCGCTCTGTCTCTCCATGCTCTCGAGCCACGAGGCAGGCGGCAGGCTCCTTACTTTGGGGTCCCGTCCCCCAGAGAGATGTGTGCAGACTCGGCGGACAGGGTGTGCCCGGAATCTGGGCATGGACCCCTCCGCCTGGCATCGTTTGCCGTCCGAGGTGCTGTAGTCCGTAGCGGCCCCGGGCACCTGGGAGTTTGATCTCAGAGGCCAGCCTTCGAGTCAGGCTCCTGGTCTGAGTCCCAGCTCTGTCTGTGAGCGCAGTCATGTTCGATTCCCGGTCAGGGCACATGCCTGGGTCGTGGGCTCGATCCCCAGGGGCGTGCAGGAGGCATCGGGTCCATGATTCTCTCTCATCATGGATATTTCTTTTCCTCCCTCTCCCTTCCTCTCTGAAATCAATTTTTTAAAATGTATATTTTAAAAAAGAAATCTAGAAAATTGCTAGCCCAAAACATTGACATTTCCTCAAAAAAAAAAATCTTTGCAAAATGCCAGTCTTCAAAATGGATGAAAGCAGGGCTGCTCGGGGGTATTGGAGGGTGTAGAACAGAGCCCTCCCCCCCACAGGCCCCCAGAGCTGCGCAGGCGAGGTCGGAAGTCCCCGCAGGCTGGCGCAGAGACCGGTCCCCCACGGCCTAGGAGAGCAGGCTGCGCCCGTATCCGGAGGCATGGGGTTGGGGGTAGGGGGATGTTCAGATAGCGGCCCGCTTCTCCGGACCAGGCCTGGGGCTGAGCATTGCCCCGGTGCCCTGGCCGCTGTCCAGCAGGTTCTCTGTCCCCGCCAAGCCTCACAGCCCCACCCGTGTCTCCTCGCAGGCCGACGCCAAGATGGTGTGCGACGTGGTAAGTCGGATGGAGGACACCGAGCCCTTCTCTCCGGAGCTGCTGTCCGCCATGGTGCGCCTCTGGGGCGACTCGGGGATCCAGGAGTGCTTCAACCGCTCCCGGGAGTATCAGCTCAACGACTCTGCCAAATAGTGAGTGGCCCGGGCAGGAGGGCGGGCGCCCGCAGGGCAGGGACCTCCCTCATGGAGGAAGGCCAGGGCTTGGGTGGGGCTGAGGTCAGAGCTGCTGGGCCGGTGACAGGGGCCTTTCCCCCTACCCCCAGCAGGGCCCAGGGCAAGTGCTAATGAAGCACAGTCCTCCCCACCCCCAACGTGCAGCCAGAACCCACGTCATCCCTGCCTCAGACACTTGGGGATCCTCCCCTATGGGCTGTGTGGCTCCCTGCCCCCAGGCTCAAGGAGTGGGTGCCTGGCTGGCCCTGTCCTGATTTCCCAGATCCCATCCTGACTTGGGGTTCACACCTAACCCGTACAGACTCCAAAGCCTTCCGGGTGCTCAGCCTGGGCGGGTGGGGTGCAAAGGCCTGGTCTCTGTCTCCACAAGTGGGGGCCTGATTCAAAGACCTGGTCCCAGGCAGGCCAGCCACTGCCCCCTTGTGACCTATGACCCTCCCGTCCCACGGACCCCCGGGTAAACTCCCAGGAGGCACAGCAGGGCGGGCGGATGCTAGGGGCCTCTTGGAAACACTGTAGAGACTCCAGGGAGGACTCTGGGGCCAGATGTCCAGGTTCAAGGCCCAGCTCCCAGCTGGGCAAGGTCTGGCCTTCATCGACCCTCCTCCGTTCCGTAACCTGTAGAATAGTACATGTAACTTGGAAATGAAAGATGGAACTTGATCACAAGGGAAGAATAGAGTCCAGGCGTTGGCCATGATCGTTTTTTGTCACGAGGGTACGACAAAGCAGCGTCCTAAGCCCGTTAGTCTCGTTGGAAAGTCAGGTCTCGTCCGAGCGTCCCTGGCGCTGTGCGCAGAGGCCCCTGCGGTCTGAATTAGAGGCTCTTTGAGGATGTGCGGCCACGCTCCCATCCACCCCCCACCCCTGGCCCTGGACAAGGTGGTGCCATCATTCCCTCCATGGTCTTCCAGGGGCCCTGGAGGGGGGGGACCGGGCTCTGAAGGGGTGGCCCCGAGCTGTGCTGCAGCCTGCCCCATGGTGCTCCATGTGCCCTCCCCAGCTACCTGGACAGCCTGGATCGGATCGGGGCCAGCGACTACCAGCCCACCGAGCAGGACATCCTCCGAACCAGGGTCAAAACCACCGGCATCGTAGAAACCCACTTCACGTTCAAGAACCTTCACTTCAGGTGAGGCCGCGCCGGGGAGTTCCTCCTCCTCCTCCTCCTCCTCCTCCTCCTCCTCCTCCTCCTCCTCCTCCTCCTTCTCCTCCTTCTCCTCCTCCTCCTCCTCCTCCTTCTCCTCCTCCTCCTCCTCCTCCTTCTCCTCCTCCTCCTCCTTCTCCTTCTCCTCCTCCTTCTCCTCCTCCTCCTCCTCCTTCTCCTCCTTCTTCTCCTCCTCCTCCTCTTCCTTCTTTTCCTCTTCCTCCTCCTCCTCCTCCTCTTCCTTCTTTTCCTCCTCCTCCTCCTCCTCCTCCTCCTCCTCCTCCTTTTCCTCCTTCTTCTCCTCCTCCTCCTCTTCCTTCTTTTCCTCTTCCTCCTCCTCCTCCTCTTCCTTCTTTTCCTCTTCCTCCTCCTCCTCCTCCTTCTCCTCCTCCTCCTCCTCCTCCTCCTTCTTCTCCTCCTCCTCCTCCTCCTCGTCTTCCTCCTCCTCCTCCTTCTTCTCCTCCTCCTCCTTCTCCTCCTCCTCTTCCTCCTTCTCCTCCTCTTCCTCCTCCTCCTTCTCCTCCTCCTCCTCCTCCTTCTCCTCCTCCTCCTCCTCCTTCTCCTCCTCCTTCTTCTCCTCCTCCTCCTCCTTCTCCTCCTTCTCCTCCTCCTCCTCCTCCTTCTCCTCCTCCTCCTCCTCCTCCTTCTTCTCCTCCTCCTCCTCCTTCTCCTCCAGCCCTGGAGCTTGCCCAGCACCCCCTCCCGCCTGCCTGGGCCCTGCCACCCCAGCTCCCCGTCTCCCTCCCCGCAGGCTGTTTGACGTCGGGGGCCAGCGGTCTGAACGCAAGAAGTGGATCCACTGCTTCGAGGACGTCACGGCCATCATCTTCTGCGTCGCGCTCAGCGGCTACGACCAGGTGCTCCACGAAGACGAGACCACGGTGAGTGGCCTGAGCCCACCCGGCGTGGGCGCGGACAGGCGAGACCGCGGCCGTGGTCCCCTCAGCAGCTCCAGAGCGGCGGGGGTCGCCGTGGTCGGGGGGTGGGGGGATGTCTGGTGACACCGGTGCAGAGGAGGCAGCCACAGGGCGGCAGCTGGGGCGGGACCGTGGGCATCTGCTCACAGGCACCCCTCCCCCCTGCCCCCCGCCCAGACTCAGGCAGTGAGTGCCTCTCCGGTAAACTGGGCAGAGTCCGGGGGCATCAGGCCAGGCCTGCAGCAAGCCAGTCCTAAAAGAATCAGGGGGTGTCCAGCAAGGATGTGCATGAGACGGGAAGAGTGGTTCTTAGCCCTGACGGCCGTCCCTGAGGGGGGCTGGGCTGCCCCGCGGAGATGTCTGCAGGGTGGCGCCGGGCAAGGGGGAGGGCCGGCGGCGGGCACCTCGGGAGGACCAGCCCAGGTTCCTGCCTCTGACGTGCGTCGCGTCCCATCTAGGGGCTCAGAATGACCATTGGCATCAGCGGGGGTCACTCAGTTGGCGAGGGTGCTGGGTCGCTCTGCTCTGAGTCCTGGTTTGGGGCCAAACCCAGGCAGCACCCTCTCCGCTCGGTTCCTGTTGCCTGTCGAAGGGGCGGGGGGCGGGGTGACCATAGCGCCTTCCTGTGGAGTCACTGGCCGCGGCCCAGAGCGCCCAGGTGAGGTTCCCGGCACAGCCCACGCCAAGTCAGTGGTGGTCCCGCGCCTGGAGGGTGTCCTGGCCTGGGGGCCTCTGGGAATCCTCGTCTGGTCTCCAGCCCACAGGGCGGGGGGCTGCTCCCACAGCCGCCAGGGAAGCGGGGGCTGGTGTGGTCCACCCCTAGGGTGCCGAGACAAGCCAACAGCACCTCCTAGGAGTGGGGCTCCTGGGCCTTGGGGTCACGCCGTGGCATTGGGGTCACGCTCGTGGCATGGGCCAGCGCCTCTGCCTGCAGCACGCACAGGCCCGAAGCCCCGAGCCTCTCGGGCAGCACTGAGGCTGGAGGAAGGCCTGCCTCACAGGGGGGGCTGTTTTCTCTCGGGGTCCGTTTCCTCATCAGTCCTGCCTGCTGGCCCCCCAGCTGCGGTGGAGCTCTGACAGGCCTCGGGGTGGGGGCCGCGGGGTGAGGGCCGCGGGGTGCAGTGCTATGGGGGAAGCAGCCGCCGTCCCGAGGGACCAACACACAATGGGGCTTCTGGCAGATGGGGGCCGAGGCCGCTGCCCGGGGTGGGGCGGTTAGGGGGGGTACGGACTCGCACCACAGGCTGGTGTGCCCCTCGTGCGCTTCCTCCTCAGGCCCAGCTGCACCCCAGAGTTGGGGTTCAGCAAAGCCCCCCAGCCCTGCCTTGTCCTGGGGAGGCTTCAGGGGCCTCAGCCGTGCAGCTCTTCCTGGTGGCGCCGTCTTCGTTAGTGACCTCGGCAGGTTGTGGCATCACTGGCGTGGGGGGGCGGGGGGCAGGGGAGAGACGTGCACCCCATGCTGTGCTTGGACCCGACGCCTCACCGCACCACAGCCAGGGCGGCTCCTGGCAGCCCCTTGATGCCTGTGTCGCTGCTCCCTGGGTCCCCTGTGCGCTCCAGGCCGACGTTCATGGACTGAGCGGCCATCCTGGGGTCTGAGCTCCACCCACTGGGCTCACCTCTCCCTGTGGCGCCTGGAGTGGGAAGCAGGGTGTGGGTTTCAAAGGAAGTGAAGGGCTGGAGCTGGGTGGAGGACGGCTTGTCTCCCTCAACGGGCCTCTCCTCTGGGTCCTGCCGCCCAGGCCTGTGGACAGCTCCAGCCCTAGTCCCAGGCCGCGGTCACGGCAGGGGCAGAGGGATGTCTGGGTGGGCCTGGCAGCCACGGGGCAAGAGCTCCATGGCCCTCGGGTCTCTGTTAACCACAGGGCTGGGCAGATGCCAGGCCCCGAGCTCGGGCAGCCTTTCCCCCTCTGCCTGCCCTTTCCGGCCTGGCCAGCCGTCTGCAAACTCCTCACCCGCCCGGCTGCTGAGCTGGGCAGTGTCCGGGCGCTTTCCTTCCGTGCTCCTCCTCCTCCTTCCTGCCTTTCCTGTCCCTCTCACTCACCTCACCTCCTCCCCGTAAGCCCCGCCTTCTTCCCTGGGGCCGGAGCGGAGGACCTTGGGGAAACAGAAGGCAGGGGGGGCCCAGGTCCCTTCCTCCCCAAAGCAGCCAGCTGGACAGCCCAGGAGAGAGCAGTGCCCCCTCCTGGAGGCAGGAGGGGCTTTGGAACTGGACAGCAGCCCAGGAAGGTGGCTGGGAACCGGACAGACGTGGCTCAGGGTCCAGCGCTGGCCCTGCCGCTGTGTCAGGAGGCAGCCGCTGGACCTCCTGCTCCTTCCGAGGGTGACGGATGGTGGGCACTCAGCCTGGTGCGTCCGTGAAGAGCAGCCTGCACTCAGGACTCCACGAGGCACGTGGCGACCATCGGCTCTCCCGTCCAGGAGTGAGGCCGAAGGACAAGCTGTGGGCTACGGACTCTGCCCTGGAAGCAGGCACAAGGCCCCTCGGACTAGCCCTCGGTCCCGGCCTTCCTCTCTGGTCAGTCCCACGGGCCCCTCCCTGGCCTGAGGCGAGAGTCAGCTGCCCGGAGGTGGCTCCTGGAGCTGGTGGCTTCTGCCCACCGCCCACCACCCACCGCCCAGCCACCATGTCCACTGCACCCAGGAGCCTGGGGCCTCATCCTGCCCTCGTACCCGCACTGGGTCTCAGCCTGCCACCACGTCACCACCACCACCACCACCGGCACCGCCACCTACAGGGCCCTCATTTGCCAAACCAAGGCCAAATCATGAGCAGACTCTGAGGGACCCTCCACGCCGGGCAGGTATGAAGCACCTCCCTCCGGTGCAGCCACCAGCTCAGAGTTGAAAGCAGCAGGTCCCGGGGGCACCGAGGGTGACTTTGCTGTGTGATGCCTGCCCCGCCCACTCTCGCCTCTCCCCCTCTCCAGCCGCTGGGCTCAGGCTGGTCCCCCTGCCCTCGTGTCCATCTCCAGCCACGCAGTCCACGGTCCCTCGGTGGCCGTGGCCTCTGAGCCTGCACGGGGGCCCCAAGCTGGACCTGCGTTGATTTCCAGGCCCTGACACTGGTTGAACCAAATTTTCAGAGTTTTTTCCCCCCTCTCTCTTTCTCTCATGTTTCCCGCTGGGCTTTTATCTTCCTCTCTGTTTTCATCTGTTGTGCCGGGTTGAGCAGCTCACCCAGAGCCGAACCCCCTTGCCCAGCCATGACCCAGCCATGGCCCTGCCATGACCCAGCCATGACCCAGTCATGGCCCAGCCATGGCCCAGCCAACCAACCCATCCTCCATCCACAACAAGGCCACAGCAAGATCACCCCCCAGACGCTGTCCCCTTGTGTCTGCTTCCAACTCGGGATTAATTCGAGGATCCCTCCGTCCTCGGTTAATGTGCCCCAAGGGAATGCGTGCACCCCCACCCCCGCTGGCGGACCGGAATGACGCCCCGGTAGAGGAGTCTGCATGGCCCGCGGTTCCGTGTAGACGTGTTGGATAGTGGTGGCCCTGCCCCGAGTGCATGGTGCATGTCCGCTCCGTGAGCTGGAGTTCCCTCCTCCCCCCCCCCCCCCGCCCAGCGACTTCGCTGTCCCCCCTCTGGGGGAGGAGGGCCGGGGCAGCACCCCACCCCGCCCGCCCTGCTCCGCTCCAGCCTGCCTGCGTGTGGAATGAGGCGGGGCCCGCGCCCGCTTGTCCCGTGGGTGCTCCTGTCTCCGTCCCCCGGGGGCGTCGTGGGCATCTCCCCGGCTGGTCCCGCCGCGGCGGCCGGGGGCGAGGCGGGCCGCGCAGCCACCGGCGCTCACCCGCCTCTCCGCTCCTTGCAGAACCGCATGCACGAGTCCCTGAAGCTCTTCGACAGCATCTGCAACAACAAGTGGTTCACGGACACGTCCATCATCCTCTTCCTCAACAAGAAGGACCTGTTCGAGGAGAAGATCCGGAAGTCCCCGCTGACCCTCTGCTTCCCCGAGTACACAGGTAGGGGCGGGGAGCCAGAGAGCGGGGAGGGTGAGGAGGAAGCCGAGGGGGCTCACAGGCCCCGGCTTCTACCCCCTGGGGCCCGCGCTGGGGGCCGCGGACCGGAGAGGAGCCGCCTGCAGGGTCTGCAGTGGAGCGCTCGCGGTTCCCTCGCCCCCTCCTCGGCTTTCTCACCGGGAGGCCCCGGCAGCGGCGGCCTCACCTCACCGGTCCCCTCGCTCCGTTCCTCCTCCCCGCAGGCCCCAGCGCCTTCACGGAAGCCGTGGCCTACATCCAGGCCCAGTACGAGAGCAAGAACAAGTCGGCCCACAAGGAGGTCTACACCCACATCACCTGCGCCACTGACACCAACAACATCGAGTTCGTCTTCGACGCCGTGACCGACGTCATCATCGCCAAAAACCTGCGGGGCTGCGGCCTCTACTGAGCCCCGGCCGGCCTCCCATCCGCCCGCCCGCCCGTCACCCCGCCCGGCCTGTGCCCCTCCTCCAGCCCCGGGAACCAGAGCCCGGGCCTCTCAGACTCTCTGCACCAGCAAGCACGGCGGCTGGCACCAAAGGGGGCGGGACCGTCCGCGGCCGCCCGGCCCCAGACATCAGAGCACATGGTGGCCCGGGCCTGTGGCAGGCCACCCCTGCCTGCCTGCCTGTAGCTCTCTCCTCCGCTCCCTCGCCAAGGGCTTTATCCTCAGGAGGGAGCTGTGGAGCCAAGGCCGCCGTCGGGGGGCCCCAAATGGGCAACCCCTGCAGTGGGTGACTCAGACGGGCAGTGCCAGGGTCTCCTGGCCTCTGGGGTTGTGCAGGGGGTGGGCAGCCGTCAGGCGGGGCGCCGGAAGCGCAGGGGCGCTGGGAGAAAAAGCTCTTCTTTCCTGGGGGTCTCTCTGGTCAGGGCAGCTCCGTCATCAGAAGCCAGGCCGCCGCGGGCCCGCTGTGCATGGGTCCACGGGCTCAGGCCTGGGCCGGTGCCCCCTCCCTCCCCCGCTTGGATCTC